ATCTCCCCCCATTCTTCCCATCCCCTTTTTCCCTCTATCATATGCCTTTTCTAAATCACTAATGCAATAAAAACTTCCCTACCTCTATCTAAATACTGTTCATATATATGCCTCAATGTAAACACTTGATCTACACATCCCCTACCCACTCTGAGACCTCCTTGCTCATCTGCAATCCTACGTTCTGTCTTACCTCTGATTCTTTCAATTATAACCCTAATGTGCGCTTTTCCTGGTTTACTCAGTAAACTTATTCCTCTATAATTTTTACAATCTCTTTCGTCCCCCTTCCCTTTATATAAAGGGACTATACATGCTCTCCGCCAATCCCTAGGTACCTTTCCCTCTTTCATACATTTATTAAACAAAAGTACCAACCACTCCAACACTATATCCCCCCCCTCTGCTTTTAATATTTCTGTCATGATCCCATCAGTTCCAGCTGCTTTACCCTCTTTCATTCTACGTAATGCCTCACGCACCTACCCCACACTCACATCCCGTTCTTCACTGCTAAAAGAGGGTATACCTCTCTGGCCAGTGCATGAAATTACCGCTTCCCTTTCTTCGTCGACATTTAAAAGTTCCTCAAAATATTCTCGCCATCTACCCAAAACCTCCATCTCCCCATCTACTAACTCCCCTACTCTGTTTTTAACTGACAAATCCATTTGTTCCCTAGGTTTTCTTGTTTAACTCACTCCAAAATTTTTTGTTATTTCTTGACAGTGCCTCTCCCACTCTATCATCTGCTCTCCTTTTGCACTCTCTCGCCACTCTCTTCACCTTTCTTTTGCTCTCCATATACTCTACTCTTCTTATAAAACTTCTGCTTTGTAAAAAACTCCTCTTTTATCACACCCTTTACTTCATCATTCCACCAATCACTCCTCTTTCCTCCTGCACCCACTCTCCTATAACCACAAACTTCTGCTCCACATTCTAATACTGCATTTTTAAAACTATTCCAACCCTCTTCAACCCCCCCCCCCCATTACTCATACTTACACCAGCCCACCTTTCTGCTAATAGTTGCTTATATTTCACCCGAACTTCCTCCTCCCTTAGTTTATACACTTTCACCTTCTTGCTTGTTATTGCCATTTTCCTCTTTTCCCATATACCTCTTACTCTAACTGTAGCTACAACTATATAGTGATCCGATATATCAGTTGCCCCTACATAAACGTGTACATCCTGGAGCCTACCCATCAACCTTTTATCCACCAATACATAATCTAACAAACTACTTTCATTACGTGCTATATCATACCTTGTATATTTATTTATCCTCTTCTTCATAAAATATGTATTACTTATTACCAAACCTACTACTACCTCCACAACATTTTTGCCCACTTTAGCATTGAAATCCCCAACCACCATTACTCTCACACTTGGTTTAAAACTCCGCACGCATTCACTCAACATTTCCCAAAATTTCTCTCTCTCCTCTACACTTCTCTCTTCTCCAGGTGCATATACGCTTACTATAACCCACTTTTCACATCCAACCTTTATTTTACTCCACATAATCCTTGAATTAATACATTGTAATCCCTCTTTTCCTACCATAACTTATCCTTCAACATTATTGCTACTCCTTCTTTAGCTCTAACTCTTTTTGAAACCCCTGACCTAATCCCATTTATTTCTCTCCACTGAAACTCTCCCACCCCCTTCAGCTTTGTTTCACTTAAAGCCAGGACATCCAGCTTCTTCTCATTCATAACATCCACAATCATCTCTTTCTTATCATTTGCACAACATCCACGCACATTCAGACTTCCCACTTTGACAATTTTCTTCTTATTCTTTTTTAGTAATTTATTACAGGAAAAGGGGTTACTAGCCCATTGTTCCCTGCATTTTAGCTGACTTTTACAACACGCATGGCTTACGGAGGAAAGATTATTATTCCACTCCCCCATGGATATAAAGGAAAAGTAATACAGACCAAGACTTTAAGATAAAATCAAAGAAAACTCAGATGAGTGTGTATAAATAAACATGTACATGTATGTGTAGTGTGACCTAAGTGTAAGTAGAAGTAGCAAGACGTACCTGTAATCTTGCATATTTAAGAGAGACAAAAGACACCAGCAAACCTACCATCATGTAAAAAAATTACAGTCTGTCGTTTCACACTCACATGGCAGGACGGTAGTACCCTCCTGGGTGGTTGCAAATCAATGTTTTATTCAGTGTTCGCATCCTCTCAGAGGAGATTCCTCCACACGGTGAGGAATTCTTGCTCCAAGATATTGGACCTAATCTCATCTACCTTGGATCAACTCATTCACTTAGGCGCTGTATGACCCCAACAGGTTAGCGACCCAGTCTCCCCATGACTGCAATATTAATTATAATTATAATCACCATTGTTTGTAAACATTTCTATTGAAGTGCCGAGCTATGAGAGGTACACAGTATCTGAAAAATAAGTGGTTATTAGGTTTGATTTACAGAAGAGTTGCTAAGCGTCTTCTAGACACTTCATCGTTCAGTATTCAAGCTCACGTTTGTTTGAACAAGATACTGTATTAATCTTCTGTAATGAAAGATTATTATTATAATAAAAAAGCTTAAACCCGTGTGTGTTACTAATAATATGAGCAATAACGATGTTTCCGAGGTTTGAAATTTACTCAGCATGAGTTTAGGTTACTATATTACATCCATGGTGAAATGCTGAACGTGTAGTGGTTAAACATCGCTTGGAGAATGAGAGGAAGCACGGATTTAAGAAACAAAGATTTTGCTTTGTGAGTCCATCGGCAGTTTGAGTCTGGCTTAGAACAAACAGGGCAATGACGGGTGGGCAAACTGCATATTCCTAGACTATAGGAAGGCCTTTGTCTTCGTGCCTCCCCCTATTGTCTCATCCCTCAGATGTCAGAACCCCTATAAAGTTTAGAGCTTTCCCCCTTCCCTGAATAAAATAATAATTTAATGCGTCAATCACAGACTGAGTCACCATCTAAAATATTAAACAGAGATTACAAGAAGTGACTCCATAAATAATTGGGAAACAGTAGAAATAAACAGTGACAGGAGGGATCAGACTGAGCAAGTGTGGTCCTCCTTCCTTTCCCAAGGGATGAGTCTAGGCTCTTTATTATTACAATTAAGGGAAAGCACTAAACACACAAGGGTCATACAACACCAGCTTAATGGAAAAAAGTAGCAGGTAATTGTATTTAATCCATGTAAGGAAATGGTTCTCAATTTTCTTAAATCAGTAAATGTTCGCAAGTATCAGCCGCTCCCCTCATTGAAGAGAACAGGAATATACCTTGACATGAGGAATATAAACACTCTTATGTTACTGTTAAATCGGTAAAAATAAATGGTATGGTGCAAGTGAGAATAAGTAAACATGGTGTTATATTCCTCTTAAATCTGATGGTGCTGTTCTACCTGAGGGGTGTCTCACGGTGACGACCTGTTCTACCTCTTCCGAGGTGGCCCCCTCCTGCAGCCACCCCAGCAGCCTCCCCAGCGTCCACATGACCTCCAGCGTCAAGACGACCTCGTCCTCAGGGACATCATGACTACTCTCTGGACCAACTTTGCAACCACAGGGTAATACCGATTATTATTGTTGTTTAACTCACCGTAAGTGCTGAACTCGTAAGCATTATTCTGCGCCTTAAGAAAGGGAGGTAATCAGGATTGAATTGAGGAAGGTGAGTTGTAACCCTGATTCCTTGGATGAAGAGCCCTTCATTATGAAAGTGTTGAACGTGTATAAATCGCACAGAACCAGAGTTTTAGTATAAAATAAGTCGAACTGCTCTATAATTTCACGTTTTAGCTGTGGCACTTGTGAGATCTATATGACAACAGTGTTTAGGCTGAGGTTCTTCATAGTCTCGTGTCACTCAGATCTTGCAAAAGATTGCCTTTAGCTAAATAAACAGATTTGTCACATGATGTTGGTTGGTTCTGACCATACTGTTCTTTGAAGGATTAATTTAATAAGATGTTGCACACGACTGTAGCGTTACATGTTAAAAAATAAAAAAAACACACGGTACGGGTGGGATTGAACTCGCGGTGAGTCGTAAAACTCCAGACCAACGCGTTAGCCACTGGGCCAGCTGGCTACAATAAGATTCATCCAACTAGGTATATTTATACACCGTAGGAAAGTTATCATAGGCACCGCTGTGATCACAAATGCAAGCTTTTACAGATGAATCTCTTGCCAGCGTGGCCGTGACGAACTCCATCATCATGACTAACGAAATCGTAATGACACGATTGCAAACAAACCACGGTTGTGGTCACAGTGGTGCCTGTGCTAACCTTCCTATGGTGCATAAATATACCTAGTTATATGAATCTTATTGTACCCAGCTGGCCCAGTAGCAAATGCGTCGGTCTGGAATTTTACGACTCACTCTCCGCGAGTTCAGTCCCCGCCCGTACCGTGGTTTGTTTACAATCGTGTCATTACGGTATCGTAAGTCATGTTATTTTATTCATTAAACAGTGTTCTTTTCCAGCCGGTGATGTGACTCCCCAGACATTGGCGATGAAAGCCGCGACTCTTATAAACAAGTTATAGTAGTAGTCGATATCTATTCAAGGGTCAGCCATGATGCTCCGCTGACTGACTCACCGCCAGTGAGGATGAACGAAAAATACTTTGTTATGACTAGTTGTATCTAGATTTTTTTTTAACAATAATAAGTTTCATCAGCCACTCTTTTCAGGAATCCTACCCCAGATGATTCCCTGGGATTCATCTGGGAGCCTGTGACCGATGGTAACCTCCACTACCTCGCCCTCAACCCCAGACCTACAATGGAGGCTGACATTAGACAGGAAGTGAGTTAATCAGAATTTACTCAATTTCATTATCAGCAACAAAAACTCACTTAACCCGTATGGGGTTTTCAGCTTTGGCGCATCAGAGTTAATAGCTTTAGCGTAAATATATAAGTTGTGTTATTTACCACGGTCAGTAATTATTGTGTCCCACATCAGGTACGGAGGTTCCACTCCTCGCTGCCCACGCTAGTGAACCTGGCCCTTCACCCGCAGGTGGTGACTCACCACTCACCTGCCTGGGAGGACTCACACACTGCTCCCGGCGACACAGATGATGCCCGGGAGGAGCTCTAGTCGACAATGTACAAATACACATATCCAGATTATGTAAGGTTCACAATGTGTTAGTAATAGCATTTATATTATGCATTTTTTGTGTGTTAGCTACTAGGTATATGAAGTCTTCATTCTAGTTTAGATATATTTTGGAGGGAGTGTTAAACCGATGTCATATAACGTTTGGGAGATAATCATGTTTGATCCAAGGAATGGATTACTATGTCCAATTCCTTGCTTCAAGAACTCTTGACCGGCATCGAGACACCTTTGATTCTGTTGTGATGGGAAATTGATCTATCTTGCAGATGTTGCGCTGCAGCAACGAGACCCGCCACTTAATTAAGCTTCTTCCTGAACTTTACCACTTAAAATGATTACTTTCTTATTTCTGTGATTTACCTAAGTGCTCAGCTTCACATTCTCTCTTCGTCCTAATCCTTCCCATATATAGAACATGTCCTGAGGCCTCCATGTATAGTTCATGACCACCTCCGTCCCAAGTATAATACATGTCCACCTCCGTTCCTTGCATAATACAGAGGTAAAAATTCCCTATTTACACCTGATATGAAATACTGAAAACTAGTAAGTCTAGTGAATTTTTGCTATTTCCTCTCAGGGGCCATTATGTTTGGTACACCTGTACACCTGCTCGTTAATGTAAATATCTACTCAGCCACTGACGTAGCGCCTGAAAGTATGCAGACATAGTCAAGAGGCTCAGCTCAGCAGAATGGGGAAGAAATGCTTCAATTTTAGTGGAACCTCCTGGGAGGTGCTGCAATCTTAGTGGAACCTCCTGGGAGGTGCTACAAAATTAATGGAACCTGGGAGGTGCTACATTCTTAGTGGAACCTCCTGGGAGGTGCAACATCCTTAGTGGCATCTCCTGGGAGGTGCTGCTATCTTAGTGGAGCCTCCTGGGATGTGCTTCAGTCTTAGTGAAACCTCATGGGAGGTGATGCTGCCATAGTGGAGCCTGATAAATGCTCCTTATAGCATAGTGGGGCTTTCTCTGGGAGGTGTCGTTGTATTAGTAAACCCTCTAAGTGGACATCCTGGGAGGTACTGCCTAGTGGAGCCTCCTGGGAGGTGCTGCTACCTTAGTGGAGCCTCCTGGGAGGTGCTGCTATATTAATGGACTCACCTAATTGTAGCTGCAGGGGTCGATCCATAGCTCCTGGCCTCATCTTTTCACTGGTCGCTACTAGGTCCACTCTTTCTCCCAGCTTCATGAGCTTTATCATACCTCATGGCCTCTTCAATGACTCTTTGACACGGTGAAGAGGCTCTTGGTCTGAGGAATTAGACCTTTTGGTCTCCTTCCTCAGACCGAATCTAATTACCCCCCAATCCCCCTTCTCTATGCCCTCCTCCCCATCCCCCCTTTTTCTCTTTCCTCTTCCTCCTCCCCATCCCTCCCCTATTCCTTTTCTATTTTCAGCCTTTGGGATTCTTCCTACATGCACTCTAGTTCCTAGGTAGGGGAAAGGGTACCGTGGTTCATCCCATTCCGTTGAGGTCCTTGGTGGTGGTGTAGTTTCGCATGGAGCTTGGATTACCTGGAGATGTCCTGATTTCTCTCTGGTCTCTCGGGGAGTGGCTTTGGGTGTCTTTCGGGTGACGTGTGTATCTCTGGAGGCTGCCTATCAATTCGGAGGGGGGGGGCGAAGGAGGTATGCTTTGTGGTGGGTGTCCGGCCACCCTCTCTTCTGTCCACTGATGTGGCTCGGCGGATGTGAGGTTGCTATCCCTGACTTCTAGTAAACTCGCATGAGAGATTGGGTATGGCAAGGGCTCCATGCCACGTCTGTACTACTTGCGGTGCTGTGGTCCTCTTGGGCGTGGAGGGTGATTTAAGAACATAAGAAACGAGGAACACTGCAATAGGCCTGTTGGCCCATACTAAGCAGATCCTTCACAAATCCAACCCACTAAGAGAATAAATGCTACCCAAGCAGTAAGCTTCGATAATTCTATTTAAATCCAACCCCTTTCACTCACGTATTTATCCAACGTAAATTTGAAACTACCCAAGGTTTTAGCATCGATCACCCTACTAGGCAGACTGTTCCACTCATCACCCATCCTATTACCAAACCAATACTTTCCTATATCCTTTCGAAATCTAAACTTGTCTAATTTGAATCCATTATTGCGGGTTCTCTCTTGGAGAGATATCCTCAAAACCTTATTTATATCCCCTTTGTTAATACCCATCTTCCACTTATACCTTCGATCATGTCTCCCCTCATTCTTCGTCTTACAAGTGAATGTAGTTTAGATAAGATAAGATAAGATTTCGTTCGGATTTTTAACCCCGGAGGGTTAGCCACCCAGGATTAACCAAGAAAGTCAGTTGCGTCATCGAGGACTGTCTAACTTTTTTTTGGGTCCTCATTCTTGTCCCCAGATGCGACCCAACACCAGTCGATAGACAACCAGGTACCTATTGTGACTGCTAGGTGAACAGGAAACAGGTGTAAGGAAACGTTTCGATTATGTTTTCACCCGCGGGAATCGAACCCGGGTCCTCTCCAGTGGTGAGCGGAGCTTTAGCCCAGACCACGTTCTTCGTACAGAAATTTTCTAATTTACGCCCTTTCTTTCCTCATAGATAGCTTCCTCCACATCGTTCCACCTTTTTTTCTTTTTTTTTCTTTTCTATTTCTTTTCTAAAAAACAAATTAAAAGAAGTGACATAACCATAGAGTCCCAAATAGATGAACCTGCTCCCCCAGGCCCTTCTGATATCACACCCTGTTCTGATCCTGCCTCGTTTTTTTCCACTTTTTTGGACTTTTCCATCCCCTTTTTTTTGTTCCTTGTAACCCCCCATTAGGGGTTTATGACTCCTATAATGGTCTTACCCTCGCGCTTTTTGAGATGTTTCCGGCCCTTTCCCCTTCGGTGCGGCAATTTTTGGTTTGCCCGCTCGCCCCACACGGATCAACTCTGGTCCCCCACCAAAAATCCCCCAAGACTTTTACCTGAGATATTTTCCTTCTTTTCCATTCTACTAAAAGAGCCAGCACGTCCGCACCCCCTTTTGGCTATTTTTCAAATTACACAAGGGACAAAAATTTTTTTACTCCACGGCGACCCCTTTTAAATCCCATCTTTCCAACCATATAGTAATGCAAGACGGGTTTCCTAACCATTTGTATTATATCTTCCGTTTCCAAGGGGAGTACACGCATCATCACTGTCCGGAATGCAGCCAGCTCCAATCATTCGTCCTTAAAACCCATCGATGCTTTTCCCTTCAGTTATTGTAAAACATTCCCCAATTCTTGCCAACGAAATTTCCCCCGAAGGGGTAATGGTTTTTGGGAACATTTGCCCTCCAGACTCCCAATCTTAAGGAAACTTAGTCCCTCCCGCAGGGGGAGATGCCCTTTTTGCAATTTTTACCACTCTTATTTTACCCCTTTTATATTTTTCCTTTTTTTTTTAGTTTTAAAATAACTACCTTGTTCTTATTCACACTTGTTAAAATAATTGGAGCTATTTTCGGTAAAAAGTGTAATACTTCTTATTTTCATTTATTCCCAAGCCCCTTTATTTGTTACCATTTTATTTTTTTTCCCCTACTTTTTTTGCCCCTTTATTTTTTCCTTTAATTTTTAAAAACTCCCTTAGTTCATATATTCCATTTGTTAAAAAATTATCTAACTTTAAAATATTTAATTTGTTTAAATTTTTAAGTCTAATTATAGATTCACTATAAACTTTTGATTAAACTATCCTATACCAATCTATGATGATTTAAATGAATCAAACGGGCAACTCTAATTACTAACAGCAAAAACAAACAAGGCCTTCTCAAGCCAAAAATAAATAATATCTTTAACTACAGGTCAATCTTTAAGAAAAATTACGATGCCCCACGCATTTTTTAATTCTCTGCATGCCAGTATGCCCATCATTACTTCACAAAACCCTGGCATACCCAGTTATAAAAGATGTCATGCCTTTCCTGGTTAACAGCCAACACAACCCGTAGGCCAGATAAACAAGGGGGGGGCACAGCTATGTATACTCAGCCCAATAGAATTATCAATAATACTTGCAAAAGGGATAAACATGGGGAATTATAAAAGAAATTCAACCCAAATACCTTAAAAAACCCTCACAGTGATAAACTACAGGCCCACAGTCAAAATCAGTCGTTTTAGTGAAAATCAGGAAGTATGAAAACTGATGCCCAGAACCCAAGATATTTTCCTTCAGGGGGCTTATAAAAATTCCCCTGAAGACCAGGACCCCTGAAAACTGAATTCCAAACACTTCGTAACTTGTTGTCCCAAGAGAAACAAAACCAAAAAGAATTACAAGACTAGTGTTTCCCCTATTAACCAATCTGGCCCAACACATACCCCCAAAAACAAATCCGATATTACCACAGCCCATCCCCTCCCTTTCTTAACCAATGTAGGCAAATCACACAAAACATACTAAAGTAACCTTCAGGTTTCATAAGGGCTGCATAAAAAAATTTCACAACACAATGAAAAAACATTGACGGGAAATACAGAATCTATACAGATATGCGAATGTTATTAAAAATTTCAAAAAAGGCCCCCAAATCCTCTTAACAAGCATCCCCAAAAAACTAAACAGATCACAGCAAAAGGATGAACAGTTCCTGGAAATCCCAGCATCCTAAATCCTAAATATAAAGCACCGTATGAAAAAATACAGAATGGGTCCCCAAAACCCAGAGACCAAAAAAAACGTTACTATCTATCCTAGCCCCTGATAAAAAGGGGAAAAAAAAATTATATTTGAAAAAAGTTATCCAAATTTAAAAAAGGTATAAAAAAAAAAAGACCGGGAAAACCCTTCTAAATTTCTGGAACAAAAAAATATCAGGAAACAACAATCAACTAAAAAACCAAGAACCCCTACTTCTCCCTACGAAACAGAAAACAGACTAAATTTTTTTCTCCCCCAGGAAAAAACTTGGGTAAAATCCCCCAAGCTAAAAATCCCCAAACCCCAAATGACTACTTCACGGCACCTACCCGGACACCTTTTCCCCTAGTCCCCCCGCCCCAAACAAAAGCCCATTTTATCAACACACTCAACAACAAGACAGGAGATTTAAATTCCTTACCACCCTTTTATTACAAAAAGTTCACAGTGCTGTCAAAATCATTGCAACACTAAAAAATCCATCAAATCCTCACCTTCCCTCATTCTAAAAAGGGCGAGGGTCACCCCGATCTAAAGGAGGGGATCAAGCAGATTGATAATGTGGCTAATATCCAATTTACCCGTCTCTCTAAAAACTTTGAAAAAATAATTTATAAGCTAATTTTACCTCCTCCTTTTCCCCCAACTTCCAACCCCTGTTATTTGGGTCAGGCCTAATAAAAATACGAATGATTCTATTTCACACTTACCAAATATACACTGCACTCGAAAAAAAAGAAGTCCCCTTGGGGATCTTTTTGTTTACGTGAAGCTTGTGATACAGTTGACCATGATTTCCCCTTTCCCTAAATTATCACACCTGGTATAAGAGGGGGACTCCCTAAATACCTAAAGTCATATTTAGCAACGAAGCCAATATGTGTACAGAAAAGGAGCAAACTCTTCCACACAACCATTTACAGTTGGTGTCCCCCAGGAAGTGTCCTTGGGCCTCTTCTCTTTTTCATTTTCAAAACGACCTACCAAATGCATAAAAATACTCAAAACCACACTATTTGCAGATGCATACATACACTTTTTTTACAACCCGTATACTAGCCTACTGTAAAAAACCCAATTTCAGAAAATATCTACCCATAAATCATTTGGGAACAAAAAACAGATGTTCCTCTTAACATAATATAAAAGGGTCACTTTTCACAAAAAAACAAAGGAAAATTTTAGGAATCCCTTGATAAAAGTCAAAATTTCAAACACATGAAAAAAATTTCCCCGAAAATCTCCCAAAACGTAGGCAAATATCGAAAATACGGTATACCGGGTCAGTGATCACCGCGGACTCCTTCCTAAGCTCTGGGGGTTTGGGAGGGTGTTACCCAAACACCATGGCTTGTTTAGTGTTTTAAATTAGGTTAAAATTTTTAAGAAGGAGGGTTTTACTTTTAGGGGAAAAAAGGGGGGATAAAACGTTGCCTAGATGAGTTGGAGTGATGTGAGAAGGATTTTAGTGGTAAGGGGAAAAGGCACCAGCAGTGATGTGGAGCCCTTTAAGTGGGGAATGGTTCACGTTCAGGGAAAAAGGGAGATAAAGGGGGTTTAAAAGAGAAGATGTGAAGGTGGAAATTGATTCTCTGTTTTCCAGGACGAGTGCACTTCATGGTTTTTGAGGTTTAAGGTTTCCACGATTCCCCCGCTAAACAAGGTAAGAAATTTTAATAGTAGGGGATCTCTTTTTCAGTAAAGGACCCTACTTTTTGTAACAAGCAGAAAGGTCGACAGAGAGTGGCCTTCCAGGGCTGGTTTGGGACAAATCAGTAAGTTGGATAATATTTTGCAGGTAATGGGAAAAAAGCCATTATCTGTCTTGGTGCTGGGGGTAATGACATGGGGAAGGGCAGAGACAGGAGTGCTGGTAAGTCAGGTCGCCATAGAAGTAGTTAGGGTTAAAGGGGGATCCAGTCATATGTAGACTTGCCTAAAAAGGGATGGGGGAATGAAGGATGCTAGGGCAATTGGTTATAAATTTGGTAGACAGGACTGCAAGGGCTTGCAATCCCCTTCATTGATAAAATGGGCCAATTCTTTTCAAAGTGAATGTATGCAAGGGGTGGGGTTCATCTCCTTTGGGTGGGGTGGTTGCATTTGCCAGTTCATTAAAATAAGAACTTTCATTTTAATGATAGATTATTGGGTATGGGTGTTTTGAAAAAAATCAGGTGCATATTATGGGTTTAAGCATTAATAAACCCGGGTACCCCAGGGATGTGTTTAAAAAACTACAAAAAAAAGTTTCTAGTAAAGGAAATCAATTTACAACAAAAAAAGAGGATAGCAGAGGGAAGAGTGACGAGCCCCCTTTAAAGGGTTCAATCAATAGTAGGAGTCCAAAAAAATAAGATAGATGACTTAGATACTTGAAAGTGTGGTAATATAGATATTATTGGGATAACAGAGACCCGGTTCAACCTGAAAGATGGAAATGCTTTTGAATGCAACATAAGGGTTATAAAATATTCCCACTGGTAGGGGTCAAAGGGAAGGGGGGGTGAGTGGCGAGTTTCAAAAAAAATTTGTTGTCTTTGACATTATAAGATTAGAAACATCGAAAACCCGAATCTGTTTGGGTACAGTTTCAGTGATTTTTAGGCCCCCAAACCTTGATAGGGGGGGGCGTAAGCTTTTTGGGACAAATTCA